AGCCAGGTAAGGGGTGGTCAGGACCAAGTTTGTAAACCTTTGAGTGGAAGCAAACAGCATGTTATTACCTTGTTTAAACAGTGATGTGGAATTGGCCCCTAAATGTAAGGATTCTGTGTCTCCCTCTCTCTCTGCCCCTCCCTCCCTCTCTCTCTTCCCCACCTCTCTCTTAACTCTCTCACTCTCTCTCAAAAATAAACATTAAAAAAAATAGATGAGGACAGTCTATACAGAGGACTTCAGCAGTGCAGGCAAACCATCGAGTAATGGCTTAGTGACCTGAGCAGAGCTGTGGAAGCACTGTTACTAGAACTCCAGGGATATCGTGTGAAGTTTCAGATGCCCGCACTGCAATATATAAAGGCATCTGTTAGTAATGACAAAAGGCTGACCCCGGAGCATTTCCCTGAGGTAAAAAGAAAAAAGCTGAATTAGAGTGGGAGGTGGGTAGCCATGAGGAGAGGGGGTGGAATTAGAGTTCTCGCTCTTCTGGCTGGGAAGATGCTTTACTGTCTACATAATCGACTTCGTACTACACTGGGGCTCGATCAGAGAGGGCCCATCCTGCTCGGCCCCACTCCGTTTTGATCCCGTAGTCAGCTGCAGAGTTATAGATGAAGTGACAAGGATGGTCTCTTGATTGTATCCAGCTGCCTGGAGTAAGTCAAGGGCAGAGAGGCCCCGCCTGAGGAACAGCGCTCACCAACGGCTCCAAAGGAATCTGAAGTTCAGGACACCTCTGATGCTTTTAGAACAGCGTAGTTCAGCCTTCTGTGACCCAGTGTCACCGAATTAAGTCCCTGTGGAGGGAAGTCTGATAAGTGGCTTCAGCCAACAGGAAGAAGACTGAAATCCTGACGGCGTTTGACCCTAAAACTGAGCCAGTGTTGTCATGGTTGCTGCCAATGGGGGCTTGCAGAGAAGGACCCGTGGGAAAGCGCAGGGATTGCAAAGCTTTGTTGACTCAAAGTAGATGCGGGGAAGACGGGGAAGACGCAGCTTGCATCCGGCAGGGGTGTTCCCCACCCCTGGTGTTTAGTTTACTTACTTGTGCCTGGAGCCCTTTCAGAAGCTCTTTCATTCCGCTGAGGTGACTGCGGCAGCGGCGTGACTTGAACAGGCAGGTGTCCGGTGCTGGCAGAAGGAAACTGGCGGTGCGTTTCATGGAGGGTGCTCGGGCCCACAGACCAAACAGCAGTTATGGCTCACATACTATGTTGTTGCTCTGCGCTCTATAAAACTGTAAGAGTATCATATTATTTTAATCTGCTGAAACACAAGCCCCAGAGTAGGAACACAGCAGCAGCCTTACACATCCGAGGAAATGTTTGACACGACTTCGTTTGTCTGCAGCTATTATGACGATGGCTGTGGCTGATTAACTCTGTTGGTTACAACATGGTGTTAATGAGGCCAAGGTTGTGGGTTTGAGAGGTTTCACACAAAGGAAACCCCAGGCCACGCTCAAGACCCAGGTCAGAGAGCCCATAAAAGCACGTGGATGATCACAGGAGGACTGGGTGAGACAGTGTAATGACTCAGCGAACATCCCTTATCCGCTTCTGGAGAAGCCGTTTAAAACATGTGCTTTGGTGATGGTGAATTATTACTGTGATCCTCACACGCAAGGGATATCCCAGTATTACTCGTGGTAGCTGTCGAGCGGTACCGTTGCAGACTTTCTGAATAAAGGAGGACACTGGCTGTGATCTGCAGTGCCTTCTTGTATTCTCAGCTTTTTCGCCTGCGAGAGCCTCCGTGTCCGTACGTTCAGAAAGTGCGCGTGGAACGCTGCTATGCGAGGGTGCCGTTCTTTGTGCTCGAGAAACCACAGGGAAGAAGACTAAACTTCTTTCCTCATGGAGATAAACAGTAAGGAAACAATAAATAACCAAAGCAATTTCAGAAAATGAAAGTTTGGTGAAGAAAAAGATGGGGTGAGGGGATGTGATGGAGAATGGCCGGGTGGGAGAGGTGTTCACCTTGGCTAGGAAAGTGTGAAAGGGCCTCTTAAAAGTAGGCGACATTTAAGCAGAGACCTCACTGATGAGCAAGAACCAGCTTTTTGAAGAGCTGGGACAATATCCCCGTCAGAAGAAAAAGACACAGAGGTTAGGATTAAAGACCAGAAAGGCCACTGAAATGTGGAAGAACATGGTAGAAGAGGTTGGAGAGTGGGGTGCACCCTTCAGAATATGCTAAGGAATTTGGCTGTCATTCTGGTCATGGGAACCCATTCTTTGTTTTGTTTCAGAGCTATAGCATTTCTTAAAGATTTTGGGGGTGTTGGGTTGAAGTGTGTCCCTCTAAGAAAGATATGTTGAAATCTTAACCCTTCGTAACCTTATTTGGAAATAGGATCTTCTCGGGTAATAAAGTTAAAATGAGGTCATTGGGGTGGGCTATAATCCAGTTGGACTGGTATCCCTATAAAAAGGAAAATTTTGGGCCCAGAGACACACACACAGAGGGAGGAAGGCCATACGAAGACAGAGGTTAGGAGTGATGCACCTACAAGCCTAGAAAGACCCAAGATGGACAGCCAAATGAAGCTGAACAGCAAGGAAGCATCCTTCCCCTATAGGTGTCAGAAGGGAGCATGGCCCTGCCAGCACCTTGACTTCAGACTTCTAGATTTCTGTTGCTTTAAGCCGCCCAGTGTGGTGAGTCTGTTCCACTAGCCCTAGCAAACTACAGAGGGGGCGGGGGGTGCTGGCCCACTGGCTGTGCCTCTGGGCAAACAATGACACATCCTCCCTGGACTCAGTGACACCTAGGCATTGAGGAAGCCTCTGCTTGCTGCAGCATGTGACCATATGACATATATATGCGGGGACATATATGATGAAGATAATATTAAGATGTATATATGTATATATATACATATGTATATATGTGTATGTATACATATGTATATATGTGTATGTATACACACACACACACACACACACACACACAATGGGATACAGCCTGTTGGCTGAGTTACCCTGTATAGAATACAGATTTTTCTCAACTTGCCATAGGGTTACCTGATAAGCCCATTGTAAGTTGAAAATGCTTTTAATAAACCTGATTTACCAAACATCCCAGCTTAGCCTATTCTACCCTAAAAGGTGCTCAGAACACTTACATTAGCCTACAGTTGGGCACAATCGTCTAACACAGAGCCTATAAAGTTGAGCACCTTGTGTAATTTATTGAATACCGTACTGAAAGCGAAAAACGGAATAGTTGCCTGGGTACAGGATGGCTCTAGATGTATAGATTGTGGACCCCGTGGTCGCATGGTGACTGGAAGCTGCATCTTGCTGCCACTGCCCAGCCTCATGAGAAAGGATCGTACTGCAGATTGCTAGCCCAGGACAAGATCCAAATGCAAAAAATTCGAAATACGGTTTCTACTGAATGCATATTGCTTTTGCACCATTGTAAATGTCAAAAAACCGTAAGTTGAACTATCCTAAGTTAGGGACCATCTGTACTCTAATATTCTTTTAGGAATAGTCCTCTTAGAGATACTCTATAAATAATGGTCTGGAAGGGTGAGAGTGGAAGCAAGGAGATGAGTTAGAGCCCTGTTAACAACAGTCTAGGTGAGAGAGGATGGTGGTTTGGGCTGGAGAGAGGGTTGGGAGAATTGGCAAGAGGTGGTCAGAAGTAGAGCCAGCAGGACTTGCTGATGGATGGGGTGTGGGGAAGCAGGAAAGGGAGGAATAAAGGCTGTCTCGTAGCTTTTGGGCTGGGGCAGTCAGGTAGCCGATTTATTGAGATGAGAAGATTGAGAGAACAGCTTATCTGGGGATATGGAATCAAGAGTTACGTGTTGGCCATGTTAAGTTTGAGATGCCTGTTTATCCAGTGGAAGATATTAAGTAAGTAGTTGGTTATCTCTGGAACATTCTGGGCCAAACAAATTTAGAGGTCAGTAGATTATAGAAGGTATTTATTTAAAGGGATGAAAACTAGTTGAAATTAGAGAGTTTAAAGAATAGGGCACAGGACTGGACCCTCAGGAGCCTTAGAGGCCTGGTAAAGGATGAGGAATCATGGTGCTGAGACGTGGCAGCATGAACAGCTGGTAAATTGTCAATACTCCTTAACGATACGCACTTCCTCTTTTTTAAAGGTTAAACTAACTTACACAGAAATACACGGGGAAAGATCATTGGAGGTACCCCACCCCCAGTATACCAAATTTTGTTTCACAAAACCGTATCTAAGAACCTTTCCAAATGTGGAATTCAAGTTTTTGTTTTCAGTGTGTTACATTATAGAATCAGGCACATTCTCTACACATGAGGCTTCTAAAAGGCCATAGGAATGGCTGTGTGCTCCAGAGAAATTGTTTTGTTTTGTTTTGTTTTTTAAGAAACAGAGACTTTCTAAGGTTTCACAATTGTCAAATTTAATATAAACTAGGACAGTTGAGTTGCACGGTTCCATTTATTCTTCATGTGTGCATTCATTAAAAATGGAACCTATTTCCATAATCATTTGTTAAGGGATTACCTACCTTGCCCAATTCAGTAAGCTATTTTCTTTTTTTTTTTTTTTTAACTTGTTTTTACTTATTTTTGAGACAGAGAGAGACAGAACATGAGCAGGGGAGGGGTAGAGAGAGGGAGACACAGAATCTGAAGCAGGCTCCAGGCTCTGAGCTGTCAGCACAGAGCCTGATGGCGGGGCTCGAACTCACAGACTGTGAGATCATGACCTGAGCTGAAGTCGGACGCTCAACCGACTGAGCCACCCAGGCGCCCCTCAGTAAGCTATTTTCAAGCAACCGCAGGAAGATTTGGAGGAAATTAGAATCCGCATCTGTCTTTGAGTATTGACGGAATAACTAGCACCTGTTTAATTGAACATCTTCAGGGACGCATTCTGATCTGAGTTGGTGAAGGGTTCAACCTGGCGAGTCTGCATACCATGTGTATAACTTAGCACTGTGCTCGGTCGCCGTCTGAACTGGGAATTGATTGTTGATGTATTTCTTGCCTTAGGTGTGGCGGGAATTTCCTGACCGGTTGGTGGGTTACCCAGGTCGTCTGCATCTCTGGGACCATGAGATGAATAAGTGGAAGTATGAGTCGGAGTGGACCAATGAGGTATCCATGGTGCTCACGGGGGCAGCGTTTTATCACAAGGTAAGAGGGGGGCAGCAGGCGGGGGCAGGTGGGTCTGAGGTGACCCAACTGAGCGCATGCTGTTTGTTCTGTTTGGCCCAGTTGAATTTCTGCTGAGTTTAGGAAAAATGTTCTAGTCAGAGGGCTTACGAAGGCCATGTCATGTCCTGTGTCAACTACACTAGTTAAGGAAGAAAGGCCATGTTGTGTGATTTTTTTAGTTATATTTCTTATTATACAGATAACGCATATACTGCTATTAGCAAATATGGAAAATTCAGAACAAATGTTATCATAGAAGAAAAGTCACTTGTAGTCCCATCACTTAGAGACAATCATTGTTACCGTATAGATGTTTTTTGCGGTTTGCCTTTTATTTATTTACTTATTCACGTACGCAGACTGTTGTAAATATTCTCATTAGCCTGATTTTTGCATGTATTATGAATTTTTTTAACATTAACATTTCTTCGTAACATAACTGCTAATATGCTATTGTATTAATATTCCATAAATCATGTGTAACTATTTTTCTATCACTAGATGTTTAGATTGTCTCTAATTTTTTATTTGCTATTTTATGTATTTATTTATGTTACTTTTTTTTGTTGAGAGAGAGAGAGGATATGAGTGGGAGAGAGGAGCAGAGGCAGAGAGAGAATCTTAAGCAGGATCCACGCTCAGTGTCGGTCCCACGACCCCCAGCATCACGACCTGAGCCGAAATCAAGAGTTGAGCGCTCAACTGATTGAGCTATCCAGGCACCCTTTGTGTTTTTTGCTTTTGGTTTTTTTGTTTTGGTTTGTTTTGCTATTTTAGATAAGCTTAATATGGGGGCGCCTGGGTGGCGCAGTCGGTTAAGCGTCCGACTTCAGCCAGGTCACGATCTCGCGGTCCGTGAGTTCGAGCCCCGCGTCGGGCTCTGGGCTGATGGCTCAGAGCCTGGAGCCTGTTTCCGATTCTGTGTCTCCCTCTCTCTCTGCCCCTCCCCTGTTCATGCTCTGTCTCTCTCTGTCCCAAAAATAAATAAACGTTGAAAAAAAAAATTAGATAAGCTTAATATCTAATGCTTAAATAGTGATCAGTATCCATTTTCATAATTGTGCTTGTGATAGATTTCTAGAAGTAGAATTACATCAAAGGGAATGAACATTTTGGGGAGGTTTTGATGTATATATTTGTTGTTTTCAGCATTGTTTGCACCAATTGCACACCCAGCAAAATATAAAACTATCTTACTATTACCCCTCCTTGCATGAAATATGTAAAAAGAGAAAAATCAAACTGAGCTGTTTTGATAAGTGAAGACGGATCTTACTATTTTCACTCTGATTTGATTATTGTGGTTGAAATTCCTTTTGTGTCTTTTGTGTTTCCTCTCTTCTGAGAATTGTCACCTCATGTGTTTGACTTTTTTTACTAGGGAAAGGTTGAAGAGTGCGTATTGGACTTTAGAATATTCGGTTTGATGATTGAGTGCCCCTGGGAGTGTATAGTTTAATTGAACTCTAACAACTTGTCTGTTGTCAGCAGTAGCACAAGGTACTGATGTCAGGAGGACATCTGTGTGTCTGTCCACCCCAGTGTAGTTGAGTTAACGAGCTGTATTGTAGTGATTGCTTGTTGGTATCTCGGCACTGCTGTGTATTTTTCAGGGCTCTGAGTTTAGAAATGGGTTTTTGTTCTTAGCAATAAATAAATAAATGTTTATAATTCTTGGAGTTTATGGTAGTACAGTGTGTGTACTTTTTTCTCCATGAACTTCCACACTATTTCATACATGTAAGTGATGGAAGTAGCAGAATTGCCTCATATGTATTTTACTTTAAAAAACACATACTGGGGTGCCAGGTGGCTCAGTCGGTTAAGCGTCAGACTCTTGATGTCAGCTCAGGTCATGATCTCATAGTTTGTGAGTTTGAGCCCTGCATCAGGCTCTGTGCTGACAGTGTGGAGTCTGCTTGGAATTCTCTCTCTCTCTCTCTCTCTCTCTCTGTCTCTCTCCCTCCCTCTCCTTCTCTCCCTCCCGTTTCCTTCTCCCCCCCCACTTACTCTCTGTATCTTTCTCAAAAATAAATAAAAATAAACTTTAAAAAAAATAAAAAGCACATACCTTTGCAGTGTCAGTCCACCATTAATTTATGTCTGTCTCTATTTTCAATCTGCGGGGAGAATGTAGCAAAGAGGATTGAGCATTGTGACTCAAGGAAGAGAATTTGGTAGCGATCCATATACAGTGTGTCTCTGAATGATATTTTACTTACTAAATACATGGAACATGAGTCTGAAGCATCTGCATTCAAGGGCTTCACGCTCTACCTACGCTGCTTATAATAGGTGATTTTTATTTTTTATGTTATTTATTTATTTGGGGTTTTGAGACAGAGAGAGCGCACACAAGTGGGGGGGAGAGGGAGAGAATCTTTTTTTTTTTATAAGTTTATTTTTGAGAGGGAGAACACAAGCGAGGGAGGGGCAGAGAGAGAGAGGGAGAGAAGGAATCCCAAGTAGGGTCCACACTGTCAGCACAGAGTCCATTGCCGGGCTTGAATTCACAACTGTGAGATCATGACCTGAGCTGAAGTCGGACACTTAACCGACTGAACCACCCAGGCGACCCAGAAGAGAGAGAATCTTAAGCAGGCTCCACCCTCAGCTTGGAGCCTGACATGATGCTTCATCCCAGGACCCTGGGATCATGACCTGAGCCGAAATCAAGAATCGGATGCTTCACCGGCTGAGTCATCTAGGTGCCCCAACAATAGGTGAATTTTAAAAGAATGACAGTATTAAAGATACTTGATCACCTGACCAAAAGCATTCTAATACTTTTTACAGCCTTGTGATTAATCCTATGAGAGAAAGCTTGTCTCCGCAATATGATTAAGTGACTCTTTGTCTTAACCATCAACCATTAAGTGGCCCCATCAACCGTGGCCCACTGCCATTTGCGTCTTTCTTCTTTTTGTCTTACCTGACAGTATTTTAATTACCTGTATACCTACAAAATGCCTGGGGATATCAAGAACTGGGTGGATGCTCATATGAACTGTGAAGACATTGCCATGAACTTCCTGGTAGCTAACGTCACGGGAAAAGCTGTCATCAAGGTAGGAGGCATGCTGGTCCAGCTCTGCTGCTAACTTTGTGATCTTGGGCAAGTCTTTGTTTCTCTGAGCCTGAGAAGTTCTCATAAGTATAAATGAAGTGTTGGATTGGATGACTTTAAACTCTCTTTTAGCTTTAAGATGCAGTCACATTGTAACGCTGAAGCTAGGCTTTGATAATTTAAACATATTTTCTTTTTTTTAAATACAGTTTCTTTAGTTACAGTTTTTAATCTCCAGTATGAGAGATAAAGGCTGTAATGGTCAGTCTACAAATCACGTTTTTAAAAAACTTTATTCTCAAAGCTGATAGGGAATCTAGATCTGTTAGTTAAAGAATGCAACTTACATCTTTCTTAAAGTAGCTGATTTTTATTTTTTATAGACATAGAGAAGATAGTACACTTTGTACAATGATAACTGTAGTTTTTCTAAACATTTTAAAATATCAGTTACCAGTTTTTAAAAGTATCTTTCCCATAACATATTAAAAGCTAAGAGTAAAAAAATAAAGCTGAGAGTACACAAGGATCACATGGGGATCTCTGTATCTGTAATGGGTGTCTGTTTCTGAAATGTAGATTTTGCTCAAACCCAGATCCCCAGATACGAAGAGAGAGTTTCCTTATTTTTATGAGTGGAATCATCCTGACCTTCTTTCCTTCCGAATTCGGATTCCATATAAAAATGGGCTGTGCTTCAAGGACAGATTCCTATAACGGAGTCTTGCCGTACTGGAAGTACATTGGAAGCGTGGTATGGCCCCCACTGATTGTTCATGCTGTTAATTGAGGGGAGAAGTCAGATTAAACCAAAGTGACTAAAAAAGAGGAAGAGTCCCTATCTGTAATCTGCAAACTTGACCCAGTCCTCCCCCTGCCCTCTAACTTAGTCAACAGCTCACTGCAAGAAAAAGTCCAATATGTAAATCACAAACTTAGTTTTAAAGGAACCCCTCTTATCTCCAGAGTTGCTTTTTGATGTGCTTCAAGAGATTTTAGCTGTGCCGGCTCACTCTGGACAGTCGTTCTGGCATCTGTGTGCTTCTTAGCCTGGCCTTAGTTATCTAGCATTCTCCCCCTGCCCAACCTCTGTCTGCTCTTTCTTTAGCTTCACTGGGTTTGGATAACAGTCTCCCTGGGTTTGCTAAGAAAATCATTAGGAGTTTAAGGTTCGGGAGAGCGGGAGGGAGAGTCAGGGAAAGGAATTCAGAGGGCGAGAGACCATGGGATTTTTGTCCTGATTGAAGGGAATTGCAAAAGAAGCTGGCACCTTCAGGAGCATGGTGCTGCTCAAAGCATTTGCCATTAGCTGGAAGAAGGAAAAAGAGTGCCTGTTGGAACCGAGGTTACGGTGAAAGTTATGGGAAGCTGTATTTCATCGCCCTTATGGCTGCAAGAACAAATGGTGTTTATACAAGGACCTTGGCAGTGAGAAAACAGTCATTAAACAGGAATTAAGGAGCTTGTCATCACCACTTCTTTCCAGTTACAGAAGGCAAAAGCCCTCCAAGCCTTTTTTATTGGGCCCTTGTGAGTTGTGCCGTTGGCCAAGCCAGACAGAACTGAATGGAGGAATGGCGAGGGGTGTGTGTGTGCGCGCACGCGCGCGTGTGTGCGTGTGGAGAGAGCAGGAAGCTCAGCTTACAGAACAGAAGCATGCAGAGTGTTGCCACAAGCGTGATTTTATCGTCCTTGGCACTGACGGCCAGGTGTATTTTTGTACTTCTCTGGCAGGTAACACCGCGAAAGAAATTCAAGTGTCCTGAGTGCACAGCCATTGACGGGCTTTCGCTAGACCAGACGCACATGGTGGAGAGGTGAGCGAGCCTCTAACCAAAAGTCTGCCCTAGCCTCTGATCCCCATTTCCTGCCTTGGGCCTGTTTATGGGACTTGTTGGAGATATAAGGACAGCAGCTGGTAGCCATAGTCACCTCCTTTTGCACTGTGGGAATTGGGTTAGTTCAAGCCCAGGTCACCCAAAGAATTAATTTGGAATGCTGCTCACTCAATTTGTAATGGCTAGAAGGGTCTTAAAAATATAGCTGGCCTTAAGCTCCTGAAGTCAGATTCTCCATGTGGACTAACAGTCAGCCATCCACAGTCATTTGGGTGGAGGCTAGTTAATTCCAAGAGAATATGGCATTGTTTTGCAGGGTATCTCCACGTGACAATAAAAGTTTGATTAGAAGGAATGAAACCAAACCTAGAGGCAAATTACCTTTTCTGACCAAACACCTCAAGAACAGAATGGAAAGCACAGCTCTTTACATTACAGAGTGAGAGGAGCAAGTCAGCTCTGAAATCCTCCTTTTATTTCAATTCAGTCAGTCACTCAACAAGCATACTTTTGTGTGAGACGTAATACTAAGCCTCGTAGGGGAGCGGATGTAAAGGAGTGGGAAACCTACATCTTCCCTTCGGATCGTTATAATCTTTCCCTAGACCTCACCATTCTCACTTGTATCCTCAAGGTCCCCAAGCTTGGCATCTCCTGAATCAAACCTAATTCTTCCAAAAGGCAGCTCCTTACATAAGACAACAAGCCCGGACATCCCATAGCAGTGCTGTCAGGGGACCAAAGTGCACTCAGGGAAGGTTGTAGTGGCCCTTAGAGAATGAGATATCTAGCGCAGGTGTCCACGGGTCCCATGTGGGTCTGCTGGCAGTCTTTCTGAAATCTATCCACCGTGTTAAAATCCTTAAAGCCTGGAAGATCTTTTTGTGCAGAAAGTTGTTTCACTTGGCCTGGATTCTATAATGCTTTACTCCTTCGTATTCCTACCTCTTTCCTACCCTGTAAATAATCCTTTTATCTCTTTCATATATAAATATTTTACCCAAATGACATGACTTTTATTAATTGTCAGTGTGAAATAACATATTATTGTGATTTTGGAAATATCTGTCACGGGTATCATAGTTACTACACAGTCAAGGGCGGTCACAATGACTGTCATAGCTCATTTGGAAGAGACCCCAATTATAGTTATATTGGAGTACACGAAATTATTATTAAACCCACCTCCATTCTTTGTGTTGGGAGAATTCATAGCATTAAGCAATTGGTTGTTGAGTAGGCTGAGTTAAAATGATGGGGTTTGTATGGTGTAAGATAGGAATTTTAGGGACCAACGTTGGCCTGATAATGGCCTTGAAGTTCATGCTAAGGCTAAGCAACTCTTCTCTAGCACCACTGAGATGACCAATGTAAAGAGACTTAAAATACGGTGAGAGAGATTTAAGTTAGATATAATTATTATTAAACACTGACTACAGTAACTAAGGGAGATGCGGGGGCTTCCTGTTGGGAACAGACTTTTGAAAATAGAATAGGTGACTACCCAGATGTTGTTAGGCTTAAATCAGATTCTGTCAGAATTTATAATTAACAGCAACACACACACACACACACACACACACACACACACACACCTGTGTGTGTAACAATCCAAAGCTATATGTGATAAATACCATAAGGGAGGCTCAGAATGTTATAATTGGTCAGAGGAAAGAGATGTGGCTTCTCACTAGGTTGATTACTAGAATAATTTTGCAAAAGATGGCACTTGAAATAAGCCTTCAAAGATCACTAGGATCACTGGACAAGAAGAGGAGATCCCAGGCAGGGGAAACCAGGTGGTTGAAGGTTCCAGTCATCAGGTTGAAGGTGTATCTGGCAGGCAGTTAAGGGTCCGGTGTGGCTAGAGTGTAGAATTCTGTCCTGTTGGTGCTAGACCCTGAAGGACTGCCCAGTGAAGGAGCTTGAACGAACTTCTTCAGGCTCTGACATGCCGTCGAAAGTTTTTGAACAACGGAACTTGATCAAAGTATTGTTTTGAGATTAATTTGGAAGTGGTGCAGAGTAGAATGAAGGCGAAGAAATTGACGGAAGTACATATGGAAATTGGAAGCTTGAGCTAAGTTGAGTGTGGAAAGGAAGGGATGGATTAAATATTCAGAGATGCTTTTTCACCCAAAGGAAGATATGCTAGAACTTGAAGTTATGGAGAAGGAATTGACAGAGGGAGCTTAGATGTCGAGTCAGGAAGAGTGGTAGTACCATCAACAGTGTGAATAATAATAATAATAAGTCAGGGGGAGACGGCCAGCTAAGGGAGGAGGGAACACAGATGGTTGCACCTTTAACAGTGTAATTAACAAGGACGGGAGGAGACTTTAACCATGGGCAAAGTTGGAGAACAGTCAGGTTGGTGAAGATTTGGGGGTCTTTCCCTCTGTATGTGCAGATATAGATATGGAGCAAGCAGTTGGAAATGTGGAACCTTCAGGAAGAAGATGAAAACAAAGGTAGATATCTGAAAGACATCTTCCCAGAGATGGCCACTGACTGAAGAAAAGCCAAGGGCAGAATCTTGAGAAATTCTGACATTTAGGAGACAGAAAGAGTAATGAAAACAGAGAAGCAGCCACCAGAGAAGCCAGGAGAGACCCAGGGTCTATAGTGCACAAAAGCAAGGGAGGAGCAGGAAACATGCAGACTGGGAAAAGATCTTTGAATTAAATGGTCATTGGTGACTTTGAAAAAAAATAATGCCATGGAGCAGTGGGGCTTAAGGGTTATGGAGTGTGAGTCTGTGGTGAGGAAGTAGAGTTAGTGTATGTAGAATACCCTTTTGAGAAATTTGATAGGGAACAGAGGAAATCAATCTGGAAATCAGAAACTGGGAGCAAAACTATTTGGATTAAAGATTGAATCACTAAATTATTATATAAGGCACTTAGGTCGGGAGGGAGGAAGGCATGATTTAAGCCATCATGGGTAGATCCAGAAGTGGAGTTACAGTTGTAGAATGGTTCATTTGTTGTTTTTTCTTAATAGTTCCCTGTGCAAAATTCACATTTTGCACAAAACAGTGAAGCAAGTTAACCACTTTGCAAGTTATGACCTTGTGTTGGGTTTTGTGGTTTAATAAGCTTATTTATTCTTATATTTGGGGTCTTGGAGCAGAAATCACAGTTGTGTAGGAAAGTAGCTTTTACTGCCAGCATCCATTTCCAGGATGGTCTGTTAATTCTTTAAGAGCCAGAAAACCAGAAGACTATGTAACTGTTCATTTTGACCAATAGCTTCAACAAGGTAAGGGAATATGGCAGACGGTGCTGATCTTAAGAAAAAGAACACTGTATTCTGATTCAGGCCAGTCTTTGTTCAAATTATGGATTTGTCACTTAGTAGCTATCTGACTTAAGACCATTGATTGACTTTATGCTAAACTCCAATCTCCTTATCTCCTAAAATAGGTGTATTAGTAACTATCACATTACAGTGTCCATTCATGGGTTCAACAAATATCTATTGAGCCTCTTTGTACCAAATACCGTGTTATATGCTGGGGATGAATGAAGTAATAACATATGAAAGCCTGTAGCACGATGCCTGGCAACATTATTTCCTTCCCAGTTTCCCCAGCATTAGTCCTAAAGGCTCCGGGTTACTTCAGGTAATTGCATGTGTTTACAAGGAAAACAGAAAACCATTAGTCCTTTCTCCCACAGACACTTCAGCACTTCCGAGGTAGACATTGGTGGTTCTCAGCCTGTCTGTACTGGATTATAAAACCAACCCAAGGGAGCATTTACTGACAAGGTGGCTGGACCTCTGACAGAACAACGCAAGTCACCTACCAGCCACCACCAGACTCACCGTCTACCCCAACCTGTTCCCCAACCCAGATGCCCTGTGTGAAAAGGAGGTAGACAACACTGACAGTACCTGGCTGGAGAGTTAAGGACCTTCACCACTCAGAGTAGCCGGCGGCTTCTCCGGTGCAGGCTGCATGGGGAGAAAGAAGCACTCACTAGGCCTGGGTCAGCCAGGGGCAGCCGTCAACAAGTCAGCTGGCCTGAGCCCCAGTGGCCTCCTGCCTGTGGCCCGGCCCTGTTGGCAGATCTGTTTACAGAGGAGACATTGTGCTCAGTCTTCTCCAGCGGGCCAGGGAGCCGCTATCCTCTGCCAAGAACCATGGCTCTTCTTTAATACGTACCCACCGGTACCTGTGTTGTGTGTTGGGCCCTGCTGGGCTTTGCTGGCCAGAGTCTACGGGCATAATGACTGGAAACTGGAAGAATCTGTACATGTTTGTAGGCAGAACAGCTGCCAAAAGTAAGACCTCGGAGAGACTAACTTTGTCTGCACTGCCCTGACCCTGTACCTCGAGGAGAGGGCGGCTGTTGTGCTTCCTCGGCAGCACTTTGTGGACACGCCTCGGTCTTTTCCCGGGTCCCCTCTCAGTTTGGAACCTCAGCCTCCACCTCCCGAGTCTCACAGGAGTGGTGGCAGGAGGCAAAGTCATTGCCTCTGCGTTTTGGTAGGGTGAGGGAAAGTACAGAGGCTCTCTTGCTGGTGCAGGCCTGGGCTGCACACCCAGCTCCGGCACTTTCCAGCTCTGGGGCTCAGGCCTCAGCTTTAACTTGTCGGCCCATAACAGGAAGCTGCTGTAAACCAGCCGTTGGGCATGTCAAGGGGGATACTTTAAGGAATCGATGAAATCGTGTTTGTAAATTATCTGGCACATCATAGGAGCGCAAAAGTCGTTAATTTCCAACCGCTCCACTTGGACTCTAGAATTGTGTTCATAAATAAATTTGTATCATCTCATAATTAAGATTTTTTAGCCTCAGGAGCCAGACTGCCTGGGTTTGGTGCTGCCTCTTACTGTTATTTGGCCTTTGGACATATTACTCAGCCTCTCTCTCTCTCTCAGTCTTCCCAGTAGAAAATTGGAATAATCATAGGACCCACCCCCTAGGGTTGTCGGGAGGTTGGAGTGGGTTCCTAATACATGTAGGGCACTTGTAAGGCAGCCTGGAGTCCATAATAAGTGTTAGTTGTTGGCTCGTGGTGGTGGACACAGGCATGTTATTAACTCCAAGAGCTCCGAATGAAGTGGTAACACGTTCTCTTAGAAACGTAAGAAGAGAAAGGAATTGAGGATAACTGGCTTCTTTATTAATTGGTTTCTTCCCCAAGCTCAGGAGACTCAAATAAAAACTTACTGATTGAAATAATTTGAAACAAAGCTCGCAGTGTCTCGGGACAGGAGAGGCTTCTGGTCGGGGTCTTGGACTTCCACCCCTCTTGGGGAAATGGTTCTGCCTCCGATTGGTGTGTTCTTACCCTAGCTGTCGGGTGCCGTGGGCCCGACTTGAGGGGAGAGAGCGCTGACCTTTCTGAAATGCATCCTTGAGGTCCCCCTGACTTCAAAAGCGGTGTTTATGGGCTTGTTTTTCCCTCTGGTCCGGATGCGGGAGCGTCCTCATTACCCGGCTGTCACACTCAGTTGGCCTGATTGACCAGAGCCGTTTCCCGCCAGCGTGCCTGACCCGCTCACCTCTGAGGAGATGGCTCATGGGCTTCAGGGGGCGGTATGGAGTCAGGGACACCGGCGTCTCCCCTCCTGCAGCGCTGCTGGGCCGCCCTGTCCCTAAGCCCTGTTTGGAAGTGAGCCTCACTGCCCGTTACCTTCTGCCTTCCGTTGCTGCTGGTGTAAGGTCCTCTCTTCTGCTTTTTAAACTCCAGTGAGCTGAAGCTCGGATCCAGGCGCCCCTTCCCTCTGCACCCTTTGGCCTCTCTTTAGCTGGCAGAGACGGGGTTAAGAATTGTTCGCAGCCATCCACCTTGGTTTGAGGCCTGCTTGTAGTGACGGGGAAGAATGACTGGAATTTGAGGGGGAGGGGAAAAGAGACTGACCTCTGCACAGGCCAGTGACCTCCCGCCAGCATCCTCTGTTCACTCTCTCCCCCTGAACTAATAGTCACAGCACCCCCAGATCACTTCTTGTGTCCACACCCTCCCAACCTTTTCTAAGAACCTGGGAGCAGGCTTGCGATACTCGGATTTCTTTTGTTGATATTGAGTAGTGTATGTATGTTGCTCTCATGTGTCGGCCCCTTGAACATTTTCTCTCTTCTCCTTACCCCTTTCCCTCTTCACCTGCCTCCCCCGCGCCCACCCAAAACCCTTCAGGTCCGAGTGCATCAACAAGTTTGCTTCAGTCTTCGGGACGATGCCGCTCAAGGTGGTGGAGCACCGAGCTGACCCTGTCCTGTACAAAGATGACTTTCCCGAGAAACTGAAGAGCTTCCCCAACATCGGCAGCTTGTGAAACCCATCAGTGACGGAGGTCTGAATGTGACGCGTGGACAAAGTAGGGGAGCACAGCCTCCCGGCACCCTGATATCAGGGTGTGGGGGACCTTCAGTTGACACACTGGACTGTGACACCTAACCTGCTTCCTCGGGAACTGGAACCTGAAGAGAGCGTCTAAGCACCTTAAGCGGTGCGTGCGCTATTCTAGTGTTTCTTATGACCCCGATGGGTTCTTGCTGGAAATGCCAAATGGGAGCCTTTGTGGCATGCTCTGGGTTTAAATGCAGCCCAGGCTCCCTTTGTTTGCAGGGAACAGTCTGAAAGGAAACTTCACTGACCCTCAGACTGTAGAGCAGACAGAACTGTCAACCATGTTTGATCTGGGGAATCATGTAAATCGTGCCCATATCTCACCTTTAGCTATTTCAGATCAGTGACTTTTTAGGAGGAAAAGCCAAACCAAGAATTTGGCACAAAATCCCAGCAGCTTAGAGGGATTTGACGCACGCCCTAGGACCTGAGGCGCTGGACCCAGGCGTAGGTGGAGCACCCGGTGCTGAATTGGGATCCTGTAAATTCCATGAACCATTCCTCTTTGGTTTGGCTTTTTAATATGATTAAAATAATTTTTTATTCCTTTTTACAATATGTCTTAAATGCTGATTATTGGTAACCCAAGGAACTTTCTTTTTTGTGTGTATTTTACCTCCATCTTCTGGCCTTAACTCCAGTCTATTTCCAAACCTCCTACCACGTTCAGGAGGACACACAGCCAAGAGGAATATCTGGTGCCATGTGCCTCACGCAGAAGAAGATCTCCAAGCTGTAAACATGCTAAGACAAGATGTCTCCCCAAACCTCCAAAGGACTCTGTTTGCTTCTTGATCAGATCCAGTCAGTTTTTCATAGGTATTCTTAGGGAAAAACAGAGGGCCTGTAATAACCATACACTGAGTTGCTGTAGCTGGTACCGTGTTGTAAAAGTCGAGGCAGTTGTGATCCCCACCCCAAGGGGATTCCAAAATTTCCCTCCTTCTTTCGGTGTAAACTTAACGTTAGCCAGGGAGGTTCTGGCTAATGTTAAATACTGCTATAACAACTGCTTTGCCATAGTTGCCGGTATATTTAAATCATTAAATTTCAGCATTTAGTAATACTGCACATGTGTGAATTATACCTCTTTAAGCCCTGTTGATGAACAAATCTACTCTGGCAAATGTTAGATGTTATGGATTCGAAACAGATTTATCTGGCTCTAATATTAAGATTAGCCACAGTTTGGGCTTTAGCCATAACATATGTCCCCAGAACACAAAATACAGAACAATTTGCTTGGAATATGGTTATAATTACTGAAACCTAGTTGTGTGCCAGTTGAAGTCACTAATATGCCACCCATTGTTCTCTTGAGTGACACGAGGGTGAATAGTTACTGTGCTATCGATTTTAAACGTGTAGTTTTAACAAGAGTCACCTCCAATGTATTCCTATAGACTTCGAGAGGTCAGAGAAAACTTCAGGAAGTAACAAAATTGAAAGCGGGAATCATGAGTTTTACTCTCTCACACTGAGGAGCAAGAGCCTGGGACTGGTGCTGGTGGAATGGGCAAGAAGGGACAAGATGCCTCCCCGCTCCCCGCCGTCTGTTCACGTTGCAGGTGCACACACGGAACCTGTGATTATTCCTCGTGTTGCATTCAAACACTGGTGCCTAATAAATACTTCTGATTTGAATAATTCTATTCCTGTCAGTAGGGGATATGGGAAGGCGCTTAGTCTCATATTCACAATCCTGGGGATGGTAGGATAGAAACCAAGAGAAGGGAAATTCTGTTGTCACAGATGATGAGTTCTGCTAACCTTTCTGGGGTTCCTTAGCCATTTTTCCAAGATTCAGGGTGGGTGGAAGGGTTGGGCCTCACATTTAAATCCCTGCCAGAAGCCAAGAACCGGGTGAACGTTGTATACGTGCATGTATTTCACCCCCGGTATTTTCCCCTCAGCATCGTCACCTCAGATTTTCTGCTCTTTTTCCCATCACTGAATCCTCTGTCTTAGTGGCTGGCTTGTAATCCAGGTCTCCCTCTCTGAGGGTAAATATTTTCTTTCTTTTCTTTTTAAAAACTTTGTCAGCCCTTTGATTTTGGAAGAGGACCACTTCCATCGGAGATGATTGGGAGCCCCAGAGGGCTCTGTTAGTGTAACTTTATCACCTTGTTAGGAGTCACTGGACTTCTCAGGGCATTAAAATTCCATTTAAGGCACCTTACTACCCCCAGAAATATTGTGGGTTAGATCTGGCAACATAGCATAAAACAGTATCTATCGCAGAATGAGTATTATATCCTAGGTACTTGAAACAAACCTCGGAGGTTCTATCCTACGAACAGACAGGTGGTGCAGGTCACAGGGAGAAATTCGGGGCAAGAATGTAGCAGGGGATCATGATTCATGGGTTCCGAGGGGCCTGGGGACTCCACCCCTTTCTCTGTGTATTTATTTGCTGCTCACCAGCAACCCTCACCCATAAGCCTGGGTTGGGATCATCTGCCCTTGGGATGCCATAGAGCCGTGTTTCAGAAGCGGAACAATAATGCTAATTAAAATGTCATGTTCTGGCCTACAGCAGACAACAGCTGGTTTTAGATTAAGAAATCTTTTTTAAGAAATTGCATCCTGCTGGCCTGTACAGAAGATGAACCTGAGCTGGCCCTGGCCCTGGCCCAAATGTGTGCACTGAGTCACTCGCCTTTTCCCCCAGGGACCCAACTGGGATGAGCCAGTTTGGAATGCCAAGATCGGAAACACTTTTTTTGCTGGTTATCATTAGATAGTTCTTAATATTCTTATCTCGTGTGTTTTACCAGCCCTCACACGTGTTTAGGCAAAAACCTCCTTCTCTAGGAAAATTAAAGAGGAAAGCAACAACTTCTGTTCTCAGAATCTCTGGTTCTTTCCTGCAAATGATGCTCTACTGTCTCTTCTTCTTACTCAGTGTCATGAAGTTCAAAACCGACTATCCCGGTGCTCTGCCAAAGTCTGATGTACTTCCAACTGTGCTTCCAGCTTGTGGCTTTTAGGGCCAGTTTTTCTGCTGCCTTTGGGAGGCCGTGAGCATCACGCTGGGGTGTGCGACCAGGACTGGGAGCCAGAAGGGGCAAGCTGCTTTTTTGCTGTCCTCTGTTGAAGGAGTTGCTAATAACCCTGTGACCCCAGCGGCTGCCTGGAATGGTCGTCTCTGGCAGGAGTGTTTGAAAAGATGCAGGTTTCTAGCCACAGGCTCAAAAGATATGATTGCTGGGGTAAAATTCAAGACCCTTTGACGGTAGAATTCTTAAGTAGCTGAAGTAAGAGGCCGGCCGCTTGGGAAGTGGCTCAGTTCTGGCGAGACTTCGTGGCTGGGCACTGAGAAGGGCAGTCAGAGAGGGTCCCGTGGGAGCCCGGCTGGGAGGGAGAGGTTTGGGCACTTGCAGGTCTCTCACCGGCCACGCATCCTGAGCCTGGTGGGTCTCCTTCGCTTTGGGGACGGTGGCTTCTCTTGGGGCAGGCTCCCTTCTCCATCTCTTGGGGCCCAGGTTGCCTTCTGCTGCAGCAGCAGAAGCCGCAGCAGCTGCTCCTCAGGGAGCCGTGGCACAGCGAGGCGGGGACAGAGTGCTCAGTGGCCCCCGGCCTCTTCAGCCACTTCTAGGAGCCGTTCTGGCAGGAGTGCTCACCATATTGGCAGGCAGCTGCCATCCAGGAAGACTCTGGAAGCAGCTTGAGCTTCCCACTGCAGGGCCTGCAGCAGGTGAAACTGGGGGGCCTGTCTGCTCACCTCAGCCCCGTTCTGTTCCACGCCTCCCTAAGAGCCTTCCCTTCAGAATATTCAGTGACACCGTTTTCTGTTTCTGAGTTAAAATCAGGAATAGCTTGTGGCCCCATCGTGCCAACCAAGCATGGTCTGGCAATCTGCGCACAGTCTTCACTGACCTTCTCCTGGCGGAGGAAAGTGAGACAGCACTGTACTCTCAATTTTAAGGTTTCCCCTCTCTTTAGGGTGGGAGCATTCCAAGCTCAACCCACACCCTCTCATCCGCCTTTGTCAATGTCAAATGGACTGTCAGGTTTCAGCTTCAGGCTTTGTGACTTCCAGGTTCTCAGGGAGGAGGCAACTTTGTGCCATGGCTTTTTAATTCCAGACTCACTGTTGCTGGCATCACAGGGAACATGACTGGGCAGAGTTTGGCCCCTTCTCTCAGCCTTCCGGGCCTCTTTCATTTTCCAGAAACAACAGTTGAGTCACCAGCATCTGTGTCTGGCATTTCATTTCCACAATCGTACAACCTTTTCAGGGTAGAGCTTTTTCTTTTCTTCTGTTCCCAAGTGGTTGGGCCCTTGGTGGCATTTCTTCCCAGTCCCCTGAAGGGTACAGAGCTGTCAGGCAGAAGACAAAGAAAGGGAAGGATGCCTGTGTGGCGCTCGAGAGGTACCAGGCCAGCTGTGTCTGCCGGAGGCTTCTCAGCAAAGCTCCCTCTTGTCTGCAACCTCTCAGGAGCGGCACATGGGCTGAGAGGTTCCAGTAGAGCAGGGACTGGAATCCATATGTCTTAGACCCAAACCACCAGCCACTCCATCTAGAGTGCTTTCCTGTGGAAGCCTCCATAAGAGCCTTCCCTTCAGAATATGTCTATTTGGGCTTTTATTTATAGCCACCAACTTACATCATTAGCAACTATGCCCAAGAATAAACTCAAGGAATGCCTGGTTTTCTGGTAATCACAGCTGAAGCACAACCAACTAGTTACTGATCCAGGTGAGGTAAGAGGACATTCATTGGGTCGTTGAGTTTTTCTAATCATTCATCATTCATCAAAATACACTTTTTGCTGGACTCTGTGCTGGGTCCAGGAAATAGAGTTGAATAAGACTCTGTCCTGAGCTCAAGGCACTCCAACTCTACTGGGAGCTCTTGAGCTGTGTAAGATGGCATGAGCCCATCAGTGGCCAAGGACTCTGTATACCTACGTTTTAGTCCCA